ATAAACATGTAAATAAATGTATGTCCTAAAAAAACTTTAATAATGAAAGAAAATTAGAATCTCTTTTGCAACTAAATAAATGAAATAAACACCCACACAGATGTTTTCAATACTTATGTTTCCATGAAGTATTGACAATTCCTAAAAAATCAAGTAATTTATTCTTTTATAAATCCTAATATCAGATCTTGTGTCTGATTGTGTCTTTCAGAATGGAGATTGGAGAACTGGAAGAGGCAAGATGTCAATCAGGTATCCATTTCAAATTAATCACATTCAAATTTAATTTTATCTTCTATAAGAAGTTCAGATGAAAAATGTGAAAAATAAGTATTAATTATAATGATAAAGGATCTTCCAAAACATTTCAATTACTAAGGAGAATACTTTTGGTCCAAATATTTTGGCCCAGCAAATCTTTCTTAAGGCAAAATTTGGAAAAAATCCTCAAATAAAAATAAAAGAAGACTCCCTCCAAATAACACTGGATAATTAATTATGTAATTTGAAATTTGCATGACTTAAATTTTTGTGATTTCCTGTTGTGGTTGCTTTGCTTACTTTAAGCACAAATCTAATAAAACTCATGGTATGGATTTCTTTCCTGTAGTATGTCAGTTACTATTGCTTTATTATTAACACATATTTTACCTTATTTTTAACCAACATCCTTACAAATGCAATGGAGAAAAGAAGTGATGAGAGTATAAATTACTCAGCTAGAAAACTTCTGTTACAGGAAACTGTGCGGCCAGCATAATTAAGTTAGACTAGTAGCATTATCTGTAAATATGAAGCACAGTATCATCATTGTTGAAGGCATGCTGCTTAAACAGCCATCTTTACAATTTGTAGAAGGTATAGCATTATCAGGATGTGGCTTCCAAACTGGTAGGAGTATCTTGCCTTCCAGGTCGCTGCAAACGCTGACATTCCTTTCTATGGTGGGCAAACCAAGGTCTAGGGTCTCACTTTCAGGCCTGTGGTTGCAGAAACCTGTTTTTTCTCAGCATAATATGAATGGTCTCTTCTCTGAGAATGGATGCGTATTACCCAAGTAAATGAAAATGTATAAAGTCAGAATATCAGTTTGTTAATTTACAATAAAAAAATTACTGTCAAAGGGACAGTAATGACTTGAAGACTACAAAACAAGAACATCGTTTACTCATAGCCAGACCAGATCATAATCAGAAACTGAATATAGATTCGGCTGTTGCTCTCTGTATACTCTAGAGTCTATTGGCTAATATTTCAGCTTCAGATTTGCATTAGATGATAATCTATTTATTTATTCTTTCCATCAGCAATATTATGTGCCTGCAGTGTGTTTAAACTTTGTGCTAAGTGTAAGGGATGTAATGATCAGTAAAGGTAGGGGTGAGAACAGATACTAATCAAACTGTTACAAAAATAAATGTAAAATTATAGCTGTGATAACTACAAAAGAGGCCTGTAAAGCCATGAGAACATAGTGTGGATATATCTGGTAGACTGTGTAGTCAGCAAAAGGTTTCCTGAGAGATTGAAGAACAAGTAGGAATTACCAGGCCAAGGCAGTAGGAGGAGGGCTTTCCAGGCAGATGGAGCAACACGTCCACAGAGCTCTGGTAAGAAGGTCCATGGTGTATTAAGGGGTTTGAAGAAAGCTGGTAACAGAGCAACAGAGACTATTGTGTGATGTGAGGCAGAAGAAGGCAGGCACAGATCCTACAGGGCACTATGGGCCTGTGGACTTAATCCTAAAAGCTTGGGGAGCCCTTGAAGCATTTGAAGATTAGGGGAGGCCAACAGTGGATTCTAGGGGAAGAGGAAAAGGCGATTTGGAGGACTTTAGAGATTCCAGTCTTTTGGGGGATAGTAATTAGTAAAGAGAGTCCAAATGATAACAAGTGAAAATTGAGAGCCTGAAACCAAACTTGGCAAACTTTAACTTTAAATGAGGAACTAAGGAAGATATCTGAAAAGGAGCAGCCAGTGAGATTGAAGAAATTCAGTAGTGTGATGTTGACAGAGGCCAAGAAGGGAATGATTTACATGGTGCTGCTGAGAGGTCTAGTAATAATAATAATTGTAGCTACCATTTATCACAGGCTTATTATGTGCCAGTTACTTTATAAGTTCTTTTTCATAATCCTGCCATAACTCTCTAAGGGACAAATTTTTATGTATTTATTTTACCTGATAAGAAAATTGAGGCATCGGAGAGGTTAAATAACCAGGTCAAGGTCTCAGAGATTGCAAGCAAGGATGTGAAACTGGGCATTCTGACTTCCAAGTACAGTTGACCCTTGAACAACACAGGTTTGAACTGCATGGGTCCACTCGTGTGTGGAGTTTTTTCAATCAACTGTGGATCAAAAGGTATTTGCAGAATGCACAACCTGTGTATATGGAGGGCCAACTTTTCGTATGTGTGGATTCTATAGCGCTGACTGCAGGACGTGAGTATCTAAGGATTTTGATACATGTTGGGGTCCTGGAAACAATCCCCTGAGGATAGTGAGGGATGACTACCTGGAAAGTTATAGGACTAATATAAACACAGTCAGTTAGATTTAGAAAAATAGCTCTTTTAGGGAAAGTAGACTGTGGAATGATAAGGGGTTGAAGCAAGTTATGGCAGACTGAGGAGTGATGAGGAGATGAAGAATAATGANCAGGCTTATTATGTGCCAGTTACTTTATAAGTTCTTTTTCATAATCCTGCCATAACTCTCTGAGGGACAAATTTTTATGTATTTATTTTACCTGATAAGAAAATTGAGGCATTGGAGAGGTTAAATAACCAGGTCAAGGTCTCAGAGATTACAAGCAAGGATGTGAAACTGGGCATTCTGACTTCCAAGTACAGTTGACCCTTGAACAACACAGGTTTGAACTGCATGGGTCCACTCGTGTGTGGAGTTTTTTCAATCAACTGTGGATCAAAAGGTATTTGCAGAATGCACAACCTGTGTATATGGAGGGCCAACTTTTTGTATGTGTGGATTCTATAGCGCTGACTGCAGGACGTGAGTATCTAAGGATTTTGATACATGTCGGGGTCCTGGAAACAATCCCCTGAGGATAGTGAGGGATGACTACCTGGAAAGTTATAGGACTAATAATAAACACAGTCAGTTAGATTTAGAAAAATAGCTCTTTTAGGGAAAGTAGACTGTGGAATGATAAGGGGTTGAAGCAAGTTATGGCAGACTGAGGAGTGATGAGGAGATGAAGAATAATGACAGAAAGTATGAACTACTTTTCCGAGAAATCGGACTTTAAGGGGAGATACCCGAAATGGTGTTTGGAATCTTCTAACTAAAGAGCTTCTTCTCTGGTTTATATCTTTCCTGGGCTTCACTGGCTGGCCAAACCTCCTTCTGATAGATACAGACTTTCTTTGTTAATATATACATTTTTCCAGTTAAAGTCTACCATTGCTATTTATTTTCTATCTGGTTAAGGTATCATTTTGCATAATACTGAAAAACAGTTACAAAATGGTCAAGTGCTTAGCAAATAGGATAAATACTTTTTTTTTTTTTACTATGTTTTACATTTAGGAGTCTTAATGGTTTGTTTTCAAACTTATTTTTTCATTAAGTTCATGCATCTCTGGCAAATGAAATAAACCTCGAAGAGAGGTTACTATCTTGTGTATATTAAATAAATGTTTGAAGGCAATTTATTATAATGAATATCATGGTTATATTCCAAAATACAGATAATTTATTAATTTCTTTGTTGGTATCTGTCAACTTCTTAGAATTGAACTTTTTCTCTTTGTAGGCTGATATTGCACCATTGATGGCTTCCCTTATTGGTGTTCCTTTTCCCCTTAATTCAGTGGTAAGGAATAAAATTTTGTCTTCTCTCAGCATAAAAAAAATTGCACAGTAAAATTTATTATTTTTTATGTGTTTCTGTATAATCTTTGATTATATTTAAAACTGCATATTCCTGTATATTTATTTCTAAATATGTAATAGCTCATAATTGTGTATGTATTATAATCTATAACATGGAGCACAAGCCCAATAACTTTTCTTTAAAATTCTTTATTTTCTATAATGTATGATTTATATCATTGTATTCCAGTTGTAAGTGATGAAAATGTATAAATAACTTTTTGATTACAAGCAGCAGAAACTGAGTCAATTTAAAGGTAAATTATTGAAAAGATATTGGTGGTTCGCTGAATCAAAGGGGTGCTTGAAAACCAGGCTTGGAAATGACTAAGAACCAATAGAGCTCTGGAGACTTGGAAGAAGTAACCACAACCATGGTCCCGTGGCAAGGCCGTTCTTCTCAAGGCACTGACACTAGGGTAGAGAGTAGCATTATACTTGTTTTAGTTTCTGTTCCTTGACTCTCAAGAGTCAAATTCCAGATGAGATAGCCTGGATAATTTGTCTACTCTTCAGTAAGGAAGAGCAGGATCCCCAATTACAGACTTACCATGCTATATCCAGTGGGGAAGATTTCTAACAGAAAATGGCGGGCTGAGCCCGTGGCGCACTCAGGAGAGCAGCAGCGCTCCCGCCACAGGTTCGGATCCTATATAGGGATGACCGGTGCGCTGACAGCGCTCACTGGCTGAATGCGGTGTGGCAGGTCTCAAAAAGGACACACACACACACACACACACACACACAAAATTGTAACCAGCCACTCTTGGCTCTTCAAAATCAAACTTAATTAAACAAAATAATGTTGTCTAACTCAGAACTGCATGTAATATGACCCCATACAATCATAACTTCGTATGTATGTGTATAACTGAAACAAAAGTTTTACAAAATAGTCCTTAGTCTTATAATGTACAATATACTCATGTATCTTATTATGTCTTTTTTTTTTTTAAGTATGCTAGCTATGGCATAGCACAATGTTTGATTTTTCTGTGTAAAGCACTTAGTTCACTGCCTAGCACACAGTAATCTCTCAGTCAGTGTTAGGTTTTATTGAATTCAATTCATTTCTTCTGCTTTTTTACTTTATTACATCTACTTTGTGAGAAAAATAATAGAACATCTATCAGTTATGTTTTTAAAAGAGATTGTACATTTAACTATTCCAATTATTTATTTGTCCATATGTCTTATCTTTATTGCTTCCCTTTCATTGTTTAGTTTAAAAAGAATAGCCTGAGCTTTGTTAAAACTAATACTAAGCCAGTGTTTATTATTTGCAGGGAATCCTTCCTGTGGATTATCTTAACAACACTGATCTCTTCAAAGCAGAGAGCATGTTTACAAATGCAGTACAGATTCTTGAACAGTTCAAGGTAAAAGAAAAATAAGACACACACACAAATGGACAATTCTACATTTTAGAAGTTGAATGTTAAGTTTAAGTTAACATGTTAAGTGAAAATAGTTGATTTTGTGTTCCAATAAATGATTTCCTATAATTTACTATCTTTAAATTTTATATTTGACTAGTGTCATAAAGTTTCATGTATCTGAGGTACAGGTTCCATTAGTCAGTTTGAGGGTGTAGAATTTTCTTTGAGGAGTATTGCTAATTGTAAGAATACCACGTGTGCTTATAAAGACTCCAAGTCAAGTCTTTGATTGGAATTTGCCCCATAGAAGTTGTATTAGAGACTGCAACATTCTTGTCATTCCACGTACATTATTAGATTAGAACTTAAAGAAAGAGGTGACCCTTTGACCAAAACTTTCTGTTATTCTTAACATTGTTAAGAATAGGTAGTTTGGCTTATTTTGTTTTCAAAGAGTTAAGGAAGTACAGTTTTAATTACAATTTAGTATGTTATTTTGCAGGATTGATATGTTTAATTCTCAGCTTATTGAGATAGTAAGATAACATTAAGTTTTTCTTTAAATATTTATGAAACGATATAGTAACACAAAATTCCTTACTTTCAAAGTAGTTAACTGTCCCTGAAGAACCATTTTAATGGATGTTTATATTTCAAAATGAAATTTGTTAATTTTTTCTCATTTATAATATAATAAAATATTTTCATACTTGGTTTCTAGGTGAAAATGACTCAGAAAAAAGAAGTTACTTTACCATTTTTGTTTACACCATTTAAGTAAGTCTCTTACATTTTTCTTTTTAACTTGAAGTAAGGAATTTTTTACTGAGTTTGCTGATAGGATTTGTTTTTTTTGTGTACATTAGTGCAAATCCAAATTGAAATCTTTTTTTATTACTTTTGTTAATAATAAGCCAAATGCTAGATACTTATGAATGGCTGGAAGAAGGGATGAAGGGACAGAGAGATATATGACAAATATTAAGGAGATAAATTTAACAGGGCATGACTGGTTATCTGTGAAGGTATGGGGGCAGTAAGGAAGAGGGAAGAGTGTGATTCCCTGACTCTTGCCTCGGTTATTAGGAAGATGTTGGTACCGTTATGGCTTATAGAAAGAAGTGATTTGAGAGGCAAGGATGAATGTTACTAAGTTCAACTTACATTTGAAGATATGAATTAATTAGTTAGAAATAGAGGCTTAGATCTTAGGAGATATGGGTTGGTTGTGAAGATTTTGGAGGTCATCAGCATAAAGGTGGTGGTGGAAACTGTCACCCATGTAGGGGGTCTAGGAAGAATATAGAAAGTGACAAGAAAAAGCCAAGGTTAGAATTCTGGGAAACATTGACTCCTACCAGGTAGGCAAAGAAGGGAGCCAACTTTGGTTGGCAGCAGATTTTGCTGTTCCAGATCCCAGGAAGATGTGCTTCCTTGAATCGTGAAAGGGATGAGATCGCACTGTTTTATGTGCTTCACATTTGTTGAATAAATTATTCCTCGACCCTGTGAAGCGACTACTGTTATTTTCCCCATTTTACAGGTGAGAAACTGAGGCACAAAGAAATTGAGTAGTTTTCCTGAGATTTCTCACCTCTAAGTAGCCGTGCCAGGACTTGAAACTGGGCAGGTGGCTCCAGAGTCTGGTATACTCTTAACTGTGACAACCACTTTGCAAAGTAGTTTTGCAATATCTATAAAAAGTAAGAATGCCCAAACTGTGTACTTAAGAAAATCTACTTCGCAAAGTCTATTCTCAGAGGAATACTTGCACAATATTGTTTATTATAATGAAAACTGGAAACAATTTAAATGTCCCTCGGTAGAAGGAATGATTGAATTAATATCCATGCTGTGAACGAGCATATGGCAGTTTAAGAATAATGAGGTGGTATAGACATACTTATGTGGGAAACTTTGGAAGATGGATTGTTGAGTAAAAAAAGGATGCACACAATTATCATACACTATGATATCATTAATCTTAAAAATATAGAATAATACTACTGGTACATGTGTGACTGCATAGGAAAGGGATCGAATTATACATCTAACTGATAGAGTGCTTTAGTGAGGATATTAGCTAGCAATATAATAAGAATTTATTAATTATGTATTAAATTATGTTAAATTGGAAAAGACACTAGAGCTAGATGGAATACTTAACTGAAAATTATTTTTCTATCATTTGGGGAGATGTGAGGGGCATAAATTGTGCATTAAGTTATCTTTAAAAGAGTATTTACTTTTACCTATTAAAAAACTTCATTCCTCCTTTGAGGTTTATTTGATATCTTTGGGGACAGTGACTGACTGTTAGCTCTGTATTACAGCTCTTTAATGTTTAGCATACCAGGAAAAACAGTTGTTATATTTATTGTCTGAGTACAGTGGCCGTTTTATTTTTATTTCTCCAATCCAATGAATTTTTAAATTTCTATGTCATCTATTTCTTCTTAATCACCTTTTTATATACACATAATGTCAGCATAAGTAAATGTTGGTCCATATATATCATAAAAGATGAAAAAATACTATTGTCATACATTCTTTTAGCAAAGCAGCCCAGGTTGTCACAGACTATTGAGATGAAGTCTCTCTTGAATGAATGCTGTAATTTTTTTTGTTGTTGTTCTTAGAGATATATTGTTTACTCATCTATTCTTAGGTTTCAGAAAATTTATCTAGGATATTGACATCTGAAAAATCATAGTCTTGACATTTTACTTGATTAATTTTACTTACGTGGTTGATTAATTTCATGGTTAAATCTAGTATCACTAGATTTTAGATTAATAGTATCTCCAGCATTGTTCCATTGTCTTATTTAATCTTTTATAGCATAGCAATGAATAATTGATGAATAATGAAATAATTCCTAGGGTGATAAAATAGCAAATGTTTCACAACATAGGAGGAGTAAGATTGCTAAGATCCTACAGTAGACTTTAAAAGGGTCCATTGGGTCCATATGGTAATTGCTTATCCTGTATTATTCTCTTTAAAAAAAAATAAGTAAATTTTATCTTTGATATTTAAAAAGCCTCTAAAAAGAATATGTCGTGAAATACCCATTTTGACAAATAGAACCACTCAAAAAAGAAACTAAAAGCTGAAATTGGGTATAAGTAAATTTTATCTTTGATATTTAAAAAGCCTCTAAAAAGAATATGTCATGAAATACCCATTTTGACAAATAGAACCACTCAAAAAAGAAACTAAAAGCTGAAATTGGGTACAGTGGATCCCGATGTATGCCAGGGAATGACCAGCAGGTGGAGCTACATATCTAGGAAAAGCATAAAAGGTTTAACGATGTGAAAGTACTTTAAAAATGAGGGAAAACAATTTCTATTTCAAATAAAGTGGGCACAATAGAGACCAATGTAACACAAGAAAAAAATTATAAGACAAAAAAAGCCATGAAATGAGAAAAAAACAAAAAAGGTCTCAAGAGATATGTTAGGGGAAATATATGGAATTGGGAAGGAGATGCATACCTTGCCATTTAAAAAAAAAAAAAATTATGTAGATTTAGGAAACTTAAAGAAATTTTAACAAAGATTTTAAATGTATTTTTGACTAAAATGGCAGCAGATATTTGGTTCCTTTTAGTATATTTGTGTCTTTTGGGCTGATTCACCTCTTAGACCAAATTTAAATACTGGTTTTGATGTGAACCTATCACTTCACCCATCTGACTTACTAATTATTCACAGGAAATGTAATTTTCTGCTTCAAAATGGAAATTTATCTTTTAAAAAAATAATTTTTGTAGATCATATACATAAGAAAATGTTATTCATTCATTCATTCATTTATGACATGAAAGATGATATGATTATCCATCATATCAGCACTGATTATGTTAAAGTAATGCAGATTATTCTAGGAATAATTTTTTACCCTGCTTTATCTTCTTAAAATATTTTTCCCTTCAGCTAAATAGACATTCTAAAAAGGAATGGACAGGTATCACTAAAATATTAAGTCATGTGTAGATGCAAGCATAATAGTTTTTTGTAACAAAAATTAGTAAGAAAGAGGTAATACTTTGAAGACCAGATTTTAAGGAGAACTTGTCCTCCAAACACTAGTTGCTCCTGAATTCTTGATAATCCTAAAGTGATGGTTTACATTTTTCTACAGTGTTCAAATAGCCATGTTAAAAAGAAAAAGGACAGTAACAATTACAGCAAAGAAATGTGCAGTTTAATACTCATTTCTCTTTCTTTTTATTTAAGCATAACATGTTGATTATAGATTCTTTTAAAACTTGAAGTTTTCAATAAAGAAGACTTAATCAATAAAGGAAATTTTTCCTCACAAATTACTATGTAGAAATGTATTTCAAGCATTATTGCCTTTCGAGTTAGTACTCTACTAGCTTATTCATATCTGTAACCATGCATAGATTAAAGAGAAAACTAACAATGAAAAAACCCTGACTTTTCCATTTGGGCAAACTGAATTTTGGCAGGTGATTGGATATGTATTAGTCTCCTAGCACTGCCACAACCAACTACTGTAACCTGGGTTGCTTAACACACAGAAGTTTATTCTTTCACAGTTCTGGAGGCTAGAAGTCTGAAATCAAGGTGTCATCAGGACCATGCTCCCTCCAAAGGCTCTAGGGAAGAATAATTTCTTGCCTCTTCCTAGCTCTTGGTGGCTGTCTGCAATCCTTAGTGTTCCTTGGCTTGTAGCTGTATCATTCCAGTCTTTATCTCTGTCATCACACGACCTTCTTCCCTGTGTGTCTGTCTCCAGATCTTCCTCTCCTTTTAATGACACTGGTCGTTAGGTTTAGGGTCCACCCTACCAATAGTAATTTATTTTAGCTTGATTATAATCTATAAAGACCCTATTAAAAGTAAGGTCACCTTCATAAGTACTGGGAATTAGGACTCAATATATCTTTTTAGAGCACATAATTCAAATCTCAACATAAGGAATAGTTCACTTTGTTGTCATTTTAGCCATTTCAGAAAAATTATCGGCAGTGCTTCATTGATGCACTTAACCAAAGTTTATTGTTTTCTTGCTGTGTGCCAGATACTGTACTGGGTGTTAGAAAGTAAGATAGATATAGTGCCTGCCCTTGTTGTCTAATGGGAACATAGGCAGTGCTTCATTGATGCACTTAACCAAAGTTTATTGTTTTCTTGCTGTGTGCCAGATACCGTACTGGGTGTTAGAAAGTAAGATAGATATAGTGCCTGCCCTTGTTGTCTAATGGGAACATAGAATAGCAGAAGTTACAGTACAGTGTAATAAGTTCAGTGTAGCATAAATGACAGTTTGTTTTTATAAGTACACTTGAGGAGCCCCAAACCTACTGATGAGAGACACAAATTTATAGGAACTAGAGAAGTTAAACAAGACAACTTCGTGAAGACTGTGTTAAGAGGATGACTTTTGTATTTGTTATTGCTATCTCAGAGAGCAATATGAGATGGAAATGCAAGAAGTCTTCAGCTCAGCACATTTCTGAGGTAGTAATGGCAAATATACCTGCTCTAATTAACTTGACAGTAATTGCTGTGGACTGTAGTGGGTCTGAGGTAGGTAGGAATGTAGGACATAAGGTAGAAAAGTATGGCAGTAGTGTTCTGGTAAGTGTTTAACAAGGGGCTGGTTCTGTGGGTGGGGTGGGGGGGACTCTGATTAGTAGCATTTGCCAGTTTCTCTGGTGTAAATACTCTCACTGTGACCAATTTCAAGTTACCAAGGTAATGCCACTAGGAAATGGGCAGAGCTGTGCTTCACCCTCATAC